CCATTGCCTGGAGCATTCTTCCCGGGTACCCAGGCTCACAGGCTTACCTCTGTCCTGGCACCTGCTCAGTGAGGTCTGCCTTGGGTCTTGCCTTGGCAGTGTTACCCGTATCTGCCTAGTTCACGGGCACTCTCCGCGTGGGTCACCTTCTACCGCGCTCTTGGTTTTATACATCCATTAGATTTCTTTACCGTTCCTCACCTCCAGAGGAGCAGAGGCCTGTTTTGATCCTGCACGTCCCCCGTGCCCCCAGTGCCCGTCTATAGTGTACACAGAAACACATTTGTTGGATGCTTTTTTCTTTTTTTATTTACTTTCATAGTTTGTTTATTTCCTCCATGAGAGAGAGTCAGAGAGGCTCACTCAACACCGTCTCTCTGCTCCAGCCCTCGCCCAGCCTGCAGCCAGCCACGGTTATGGGCACACCCGTGTTCAGGCAGACCCAGGATGAGAACCTGGAGCCTTCCTACAGACGTCCAGCCTTGCTCCTACAGCAGCGTCCCTACCGCCTGCTCCACTGCGGCCAGGTCTGATTGTTTCTTAGTCTCTATGGGCCTTGGCTTCATCACCAGCAGAAGTGGATTGCTTTGAGGACTAAATATCGAATCTAAACACCCCACAGGAGAGCCGTACTCGCAGGTTTCTGCGAGGTCCGCCTCCTTGCTGTGGTGGCTTCTGAGCTCCACCTCATTATAGATACCGCTCATGTTTGCCCCCTTGGATCCTTGTTGGGAGGAAGGCCAGTAGGTAGACTCTCACCCTTGCCCGTTGCAGGCCCAGGGGTAAAGGTCTCTGGGAAGCAGTTATTTTCTGGGTCCCTCTGGCCGTAAACATCTCATTAGACCAGTGTGGGGGGCCCAGGGCCGTGCCTACCCTGTAAGGGTGGGAAGAGCAGTAGAAGGACACACCGAGCCGGCGGCTCTAGATAGTTGGTAAGGAGGACTTAGGAAAGAGCAGTAAGACAGAGACGAGAGCCATTCGCTCTTACCTGAAGCTTGCGGCCCGCTGCCGACATCTTCCCAAAGAAGGTGTGCATAACCGAGGCTCTGTCTTCCTTTTTTTTTTGGAGAGATTTTTGCTATAGGGTGCGTGCGCTCGCCAGACAGAGAGAGACAGAGAGACAAAAAGCGAGAAATCACCCCCCCCCAGGGGGGATGGCCACGCCGCAATCCCTTCTCCTCCATTCTCCTCTCGGGATCTTGGGCATGCACGCACGTGCGCCCAGCGTGAGTTTAAGCCACTGGGTCCGGGACTTGAACCACGGTTGACTACGTGGGAGTCCAGCGACATAGCCATTACGCTAACTGCTGGTCCCGAGGCTCTGTCTTCTTTGAGAGTGTGTTATGGAAACACAGCAAGTTGAATAAACTTTCTCCTTCTAAATTGCAAGACGCATGCAAACCAGTGGAACGAAAGTCATAGTTCTGTTTGTTCTGTGGCGGTATGAATGTTTTCTTTTTCCATCGCGATGCAAGGTAAAAATAAAGGAAAGCTTTGCAAACCGTGAGCAGCTGAGCAGGAGTCACCGTGAGCTTGACTGGAGCCTACACGGGGGCAAGCCTGCCTGCTCTTCCCTCCCTCTCCATGAAAAAAGTCTTGTTTAGGTTACGACTGTACCCTGAGCTGGCGACTTACAGACAGGAGGATTGTAGGCCTGCTATAATCCACTGCCAGTATTTCCCTGCCCTGCGTCCCCCTCTGCTCCTCTCTCTCCTCCCCTCCCCTCCCCTCCTCCTTTCTTTCTTTCCTTCCCTTCCTTCCTTTTATCAATCCTTGATTCCTCCCTCCCTCCTCTCCATCTTCAAATATATTTGAATGCTTAGGATCAACCACTATGTCCTTGATATCTGGGATACGAAAACAAACAGGATAAATCTTTGACCTCAAAGAGGTTGAGTCTTGTAGGAGGAACATGTGACTTTAGAGTCACGTCCTATTATAGACATTCGTGCAAAGCTGGGAAGGCTTCACAGAGGAGGTGACATCCAAGTTGAGGCTGGAAGCATCAGTGGTTAGGATGTGTGTGAAACTAAATAGGAAATAGGAAACCAAAAGTAACTGATACAAAGGCATGGAGGCCAAGCTTGTGCAGTGGTGTGTGTGTGTGTTGTGTGTGCGTGTGTGTGTGTTGTGTGTGCATATGTGTGTATGCAGGGGTGCGGGGGTGGGCAGGGAGTGGGCCTGAAGAGGTGTGCATATTGGGGAGGCAGCCCTGCCCTTTGACTCAGGAAGCTGTGGTCTCCCGGGCTCCCCAGAGTAGATCCCCCATTACTGAATGAGGCCATCAGCATGGAGGAAGCACTGTCTTGGAGGCCTTGGTGTGGGGAGTAAAAGGTGCTGGCCAGAACTCCAGGACTTTTCAGTCCTTCAGCCAGACAGGGGTGAGCTGAACTTTCCCCCAAAGCTTGTCTCTTCCCTTGGGCCTGCTGTGCACCCCTGCAAGGTACTTGGGACTTTCAGGCCACAGGGAGACACCACCCAAGGCGTCATTTGGCGGTAGCTTCTCGAGACCTAGGAGAGTCCTGGGTTCATCATGGCGGGGAGCCCATGGGCTGGAAGCCTCCATAGTAGGGGCTTGTGCCTCCTTGGCAGACCTCGATCTTCCGTGGTGAGGACTTGCCTACTTTGCAGTCCCTGTCCACCTCTGGAAGGGCTCAGGGCAGAGACCCAGTGCGCTCAGAGGTCCCTGCCGTGAATGTTCCTGAGTGTCTGGCCCCGTCCGCCTCCTTGCTGTGGTGGCTTCTGAGCTCCACCTCATTATAGATACCGCTCATGTTTGCCCCCTTGGATCCTTGTTGGGAGGAAGGCCAGTAGGTAGACTCTCACCCTTGCCCGTTGCAGGCCCAGGGGTAAAGGTCTCTGGGAAGCAGTTATTTTCTGGGTCCCTCTGGCCGTAAACATCTCATTAGACCAGTGTGGGGGGCCCAGGGCCGTGCCTACCCTGTAAGGGTGGGAAGAGCAGTAGAAGGACACACCGAGCCGGCGGCTCTAGATAGTTGGTAAGGAGGACTTAGGAAAGAGCAGTAAGACAGAGACGAGAGCCATTCGCTCTTACCTGAAGCTTGCGGCCCGCTGCCGACATCTTCCCAAAGAAGGTGTGCATAACCGAGGCTCTGTCTTCCTTTTTTTTTTGGAGAGATTTTTGCTATAGGGTGCGTGCGCTCGCCAGACAGAGAGAGACAGAGAGACAAAAAGCGAGAAATCACCCCCCCCCAGGGGGGATGGCCACGCCGCAATCCCTTCTCCTCCATTCTCCTCTCGGGATCTTGGGCATGCACGCACGTGCGCCCAGCGTGAGTTTAAGCCACTGGGTCCGGGACTTGAACCACGGTTGACTACGTGGGAGTCCAGCGACATAGCCATTACGCTAACTGCTGGTCCCGAGGCTCTGTCTTCTTTGAGAGTGTGTTATGGAAACACAGCAAGTTGAATAAACTTTCTCCTTCTAAATTGCAAGACGCATGCAAACCAGTGGAACGAAAGTCATAGTTCTGTTTGTTCTGTGGCGGTATGAATGTTTTCTTTTTCCATCGCGATGCAAGGTAAAAATAAAGGAAAGCTTTGCAAACCGTGAGCAGCTGAGCAGGAGTCACCGTGAGCTTGACTGGAGCCTACACGGGGGCAAGCCTGCCTGCTCTTCCCTCCCTCTCCATGAAAAAAGTCTTGTTTAGGTTACGACTGTACCCTGAGCTGGCGACTTACAGACAGGAGGATTGTAGGCCTGCTATAATCCACTGCCAGTATTTCCCTGCCCTGCGTCCCCCTCTGCTCCTCTCTCTCCTCCCCTCCCCTCCCCTCCTCCTTTCTTTCTTTCCTTCCCTTCCTTCCTTTTATCAATCCTTGATTCCTCCCTCCCTCCTCTCCATCTTCAAATATATTTGAATGCTTAGGATCAACCACTATGTCCTTGATATCTGGGATACGAAAACAAACAGGATAAATCTTTGACCTCAAAGAGGTTGAGTCTTGTAGGAGGAACATGTGACTTTAGAGTCACGTCCTATTATAGACATTCGTGCAAAGCTGGGAAGGCTTCACAGAGGAGGTGACATCCAAGTTGAGGCTGGAAGCATCAGTGGTTAGGATGTGTGTGAAACTAAATAGGAAATAGGAAACCAAAAGTAACTGATACAAAGGCATGGAGGCCAAGCTTGTGCAGTGGTGTGTGTGTGTGTTGTGTGTGCGTGTGTGTGTGTTGTGTGTGCATATGTGTGTATGCAGGGGTGCGGGGGTGGGCAGGGAGTGGGCCTGAAGAGGTGTGCATATTGGGGAGGCAGCCCTGCCCTTTGACTCAGGAAGCTGTGGTCTCCCGGGCTCCCCAGAGTAGATCCCCCATTACTGAATGAGGCCATCAGCATGGAGGAAGCACTGTCTTGGAGGCCTTGGTGTGGGGAGTAAAAGGTGCTGGCCAGAACTCCAGGACTTTTCAGTCCTTCAGCCAGACAGGGGTGAGCTGAACTTTCCCCCAAAGCTTGTCTCTTCCCTTGGGCCTGCTGTGCACCCCTGCAAGGTACTTGGGACTTTCAGGCCACAGGGAGACACCACCCAAGGCGTCATTTGGCGGTAGCTTCTCGAGACCTAGGAGAGTCCTGGGTTCATCATGGCGGGGAGCCCATGGGCTGGAAGCCTCCATAGTAGGGGCTTGTGCCTCCTTGGCAGACCTCGATCTTCCGTGGTGAGGACTTGCCTACTTTGCAGTCCCTGTCCACCTCTGGAAGGGCTCAGGGCAGAGACCCAGTGCGCTCAGAGGTCCCTGCCGTGAATGTTCCTGAGTGTCTGGCCTCCCTTGTCCTCAGGCTGCCCCTGAGCCCTGGGAAGCCCCTGCCAGAGCAGCGAGTGCAGCGAAGCCTGGGCCTCATGCGTCAGAGAAGTGACTTCCTTCTTTGTGGGCAGCGAGGCGGGTGTGTGGCTAGCCAGACTCAGGGCCACTGCAACGAGAGCAGAGGACCCTGGCAGGCTCGGGATCGAGAGCTAGAAGATGACAGAGGTGGAGGCTGGCACTTAATAAGCACTGGCCGATGAGGCTGTGAGTGCCAGAGGTTCAGGGGCCTCGTGTCTTTACCATCGCCCAGTGGAGAGCCATGGGCAGGGAAGGTGCTTGGGTAAATATTTGCAAATGAATGTATGCATGAGTGATTTAATGACCTTCCCTCTGGCTCCTCCAACAGTCTGGGTTTGGAGGCAGGGCCTCCGACTCAGTGCGGACTGCCTCTCTTGACTTGAGTCTGGCGTGTTATTTCCACGGAGCCAGGCTCAAGGTCCATTCTCCTCTCCCACCCCCTCATCCAAGGCTGGCTGATGTTACACCCACTCAGGCCCGGGCGCTCTCTCTGACCTGCTCTCTACTGCAGGCAGCTGCATGTTTGCTGAAATGTCTTCGGTGAGTCCCTAGATTTTTCCTTCGTAACCAAAGACATGTGGGAGAACTCAGATTCCCCTCCCATATTAGAGGCCCAGCATTGCGGGCAGGCGAGGGACTCAGCCCAACAGTGAGGCCCAGCCTGTGCTGTGCTCACTGTCCCAAAGTGACGTGCCCTGAACCACGTAGCCAGGAAGCAGGCGCCGGCCCCGCGGGGGGCTGAAAATGCGGAATCCATTGCCGAAGTGTGAGTTGTAGGTCCAGCCTTTCAGTTCTTGGGGCCTCAGTTTCCTCTTCTGTAAAACGGACATGATATACCCTGCCTCGGGGAGCCGTTGGGTAAGTTTGGTGAGTTGATCCGTGGCAAGGGGTTGGAGTTAGCGGGAGTTAGTGCCCGTCAATACCAGCCCTCCGTCCCGTGCACCATATGCCCCCTGTGGCCCAGATAGATACCAGGCGTTTCCCGGAGTATCTCATTGAATCCTCGCTGCAAGTCTGAGGGGTCGTACGGGTGAGGCCTGGAGAGATGACACGGCTTACTCCAAACCACAGGTTGGCTTGGCGCAGGGGGCGGTGTGGGCTCTCAGTCCGCCTGTCCATGGAGTGCCGAACCAGGAGCCTGGAATCCCACCCTCTGCCTGGCAGCCCCCGTGCAGCAGCTCGCTGTGTAGACAGTGTACACAGGGCAGTCTAAGGGTCTGTGGACAGAGAAGCCGGCTGTCTGTCGGCGGGCACCTGGCTGCTGTGGCCTGCGGGCCCACCTGAGCTCTTCAGGGAAGCAAACCTGGCTGGGATCGTGAGGCAAGCCCGGAGCAGAGCCCCCGCCGGCCCCTCCTGGCAGCAACACTTCTTTTTTAAGTCAAATGTTGCCTGGAAGTCATTGCTTCAGCAATTACCTCTGAAAACCACTGTTTCCTCAGCCCCATTAACATGTCAGATCCTGGCAGCCGCTGACGGGGCAAACACCCCTCGGAGGGCTGCAATTCAATTTAAGGATCACCTCCCCTGCACAGACAGCCTCGGAGCCGGCCCATCTCCAGATTTCACCAAATCGAGGAGAGTCTCAGGGCGCAGTTTGATCATGCTGCTTCCTAAATTAAAAACAAAATTGTAAGTGTTAAACATCTTTAACAAGTCATTAAGCCCCAGCCATAATCCAGAAAAAGTCCCTTAATGAGTAATGACATATGTTGTGAGCGCAGTTATCTCCTAATGTTGGATGCTGAGATGGTGTGATGAAATGGCACGGAGCTCGGAAGGGATGGATCACCGCTAATGGCAAGATAATTCCAGGCTGCTGGGCTGAGGACCCTGGAGGGCTGGGCAGGCAGCCCAAGCCAGGAGGCCAGGCTCTTTCATCTGGCTGGGGTGGTCCTCAGCGCCCTACCTGTCTTGGTCCTGGTGCCCCGTCTGCTCACAGGCTCTGCTCTGCTCACACAGGGTGGCATCTGTGTGCACCCAGAGTTCGCGCACTGTCCCCTGACGGGAGGGCCTCCCTGGCTGCCCCGTGTCCCATCCCTGGTCGCTGGGCTCTTAACCGAGTCAGACGTTTCCTCCCAACCCTGTCCACCCCCACCTCCCATCTGCTGCCCAGCCTCCCTTCAGGCTCAGGAACATGCCCCTGTCTGCGTGCTGAGCCCTGACTCACTGCCTGGGCCATCCTCTTTGGCTCCCAGAGTGCCCTGCTCCAGGGCTCTGGCCCCTGGCTCACCTCCGCACTAGGCCCCGGCTGCCGTTGAAGCCCGCCTACCTGCCCCTTGCCCCCAAGACCCAGTACTCAGGAGAGACTATGAATGGCTGAGTGTGGGTCATGTGACCGCCCTGGATCACCACAGGGTGATGACCAGCCCCTGGAGAAGAGAGCTGACAGTTTCCTGCCTGGATGTGGGCCCTTGCGTCCCCCTACCGGGCAGGGTCTTCCCTGGGCTGCTCTCTCAGAGCACTGCTCTGGGATTATGGGGGAAGGATGCCCTCCCCCGCTTGGCCCCTCGGGACAGAGAGCCTCAGGTCAGAGAAGCCAGAGCAGGCCCGAGACAAAGTGCTCTGTGGGGAGACCAACAAGGAAAGGGGAGAAGCGGGCCAAGGAAGGGGAGGAAACCGACGTCTGGCAAATTCTCAGATGGCTTCAGATGGCTCCCACAGGAGAGCTCTGGAGAGGAAGGTGCACCCCGGAGTCACGTTTCTCTGAAGAAGCTGCAGGGGCTGGAGTCAGAGGCAGAGCACCCCCACACACGTAGAAACGTCATTCAGTCATTCGTTCACTTGCACGTGTATTCAGCCTGTGTTAATGGTCACTTTCTGCTATGTATTGTTTACTGTCTGCCAACACTGCGCTGGGGACTGCACACGCTTTACGGCAACACCACCACCCATGCCGTGGATACTAGTGTTACCTACATGCTGCAGGACGAGGAGTCTGAGGCACCGAGAGGTGCAGAGGGGACTGGCACAAGACCGTGCAACCAGAACGTAGCTGAGTTGGGATAGGACCTCCAACTTCAGAGCCGGTGGGCTGTTGACTCTAAGGGATGAGGAATAGAGGGTCTAAGAACATGTCTAGGCGGATACCATGTGTGAGTTTGCACTCCTAAAGGCCAGCTGAGACTAACATGCTGGCCTCCAAACGCAAACCGTGTACATCTTAGTGGCAAATAAAACTATTGGAGCCCTGGTCTCGCAGAATTCCAGAGTTGGGAGAAAGCTAGGCGAGCTCTCGGTTAGCGTTGGCATCTCCCGGATGGGGACACAAAGCCGCAGAACGGTCCAGGGTCCCCTAGGAAGTGCGTGGAGGCGCCGCGTGGCTGAGGCGTGCACCAAATGTGGCAGGAACCACGTTCTCCTGCCTCACAGCGGTCTGCTATTTTCACAAGAGCTCAGGAAAACTTCTCACTGTGCAGTTTGCTTAAAAACAACAGAGAAGCATCACGGGAGAGGAGCAGCTCCTGACCATGCATTCCAAATTAGACACTGTACGGGAGTTCCCCGCAGAGTGCTTGCGACAGGTGCCAAGAGGAAGCAGCATCGCCCCTCGGTGGCTGGGGGCAGCTGGTGCCAGCAGCTCGGGCCTGGAGGAGGGCGGGCGCTGCCTCTGACCGGGGAGGCCCTCCGCTTGGCACTGGATCCTGCAGGGGCCGTTGCTCACCACTGCCTTTCTGGGCCTCATCCCTCCATCATCCTCGATTCTGTGTTTGATCTGTATCTGTGGTCCTTCTGCCTGGGCGACTCTTTTGTACCCAGAGCTCCTTGTCTGGCCTGCTCCAGGAGTGGCTCACTACGACTTAACTCTGATGACCTGAAGCTCGCCTGTGCTTGATGCTTGGAGGTTATCATTTGGCTACAGATGAGAGCCCTGAGTCTCGGGTGCCTTTCTGTTAGGATGGGTGACTAGGAGTCACCTGGCTGCTGTTATAGCCGAGGTTGAACTGCAGGTTTCAGTGCTTGGCAGGAGGTGGTGGGGTGGTTTTGGACTCAGGACTAGGCAGGATGACAGTGCTAGTAGGCTGCATGACCCACAGCGATTTCCTGCACCCCCAGGGATATTGAGTGGGATGGGCTAGGAAACTTTCTCTCCTCACCCCTGCCCTAGAGGGCACACGTGCTTGCTGGAGAAAGACAGAGAGGGAAAGTGAGGAAGCATCTCCCTTGGGGAATGCTCACGCTGCAATCCCTTTTCCTCTCTTTCCCCCCTTCTTCTGGGATTTTGGGCAAACATGCACATGCACTCAGTTTGTTTCTCAAGTCGCTGGGCCCAGGACTTGAACTGCTCTTTAGCGACATGAGATCCAGCCGCCTTAATCACCACGCCGAGCTGGTCCAAGGGCTGGGATGCTTTCAAACACGCATACCTTTGACTCTTCAGTGCTGGAGAAAAAGCCTGCGTTCCATGGCCTCTGTATCCCTTTCCATGTGTCTACCTTAGAGAAAAGGGACACCGCACGCCCTGGTTGGAAAATGCCTCTCAGATCTGCCCTCGGACAGAGCAGAAGCCCGGAGCGCGCTTTCTCAGCTCTGAGTGTTGACGGCGTGGGACGGTGTGGGCTTTCCTTAGCCACTGGGCCAGCAGTGCGCAGACTGAGCAGAGGGCTTGCCAGACACAGCGAGCATCTTCTAGCCTCTGCCCTGCAGCAGCGCTCCCCAACTCAGGCCCAGAGAGGGACAAGAAAGCCCTCTTTGTTCTGGGCAGACAGCACAAAGCCTCGTTGCCATAGCAGCAACAGCCATTTCCTCCAGCTCTGAGCCAGGGCAACAGCTCAGCTGGACCTGGGCTCCAGCCCTGAGAAGCCTTGAGAAGCCTGGGGCAGAGGTCGGCCTTGGACGTGGGAGGTCTGAGTCACTGAGACCCCCACGACGTGCCAGCAGAGGAACAAGGAGCTGGCAGTCACGAAGGCTGCCTGCCTGTGTCATCATCCAAAGCTGGGCTGGGGGGCAGCCAGGGGCTGGCGCTGGGACCACGCTTGGGGACCCAGCAGCTGAAACAGGGCTGCTGGATGTTGGAACCATTCATAGCCAGGATGCCACAGGGGTCCGGGCTTATGGGGGGTAGGGAGGCCTGGAGGAAGCAGTGGAGAGGGCTGGGCGTGAGGATGGGGAGGGAAGGGGGGACACAACTATCCTGGCCTGATCAGGCCTGAAATCGTGGCAGGGCCAGAGTTTAGAAACTCCTGAACTTTTATTTCAAAAAAGGAGTCCAACAGCCCCTCCCCGCTGCTTGTCCCTCTCCTTTACCTGTTGGAACTTGTGTAGAGTGGGGTGTGCAGGGGAAGGTCGAAAGGACTAAGGAGGGATTCTGGGCTTCTAGGAATAGAAATGAGCCAAATGGTGGGGCTAGCAGGCGATGTGGTGGTTAAGGTGCTAGACTCCTACATGACTGACTGCAGTTCGAGTCCCAGACCTGGCGGCTTGCTTTCTCACTTTCCCTCTCTCTCACTCTGTCCCTCTCTGATTAAATCAGTCAACCAATCAATCAACCAATCTTTAAAGAAAGAAAGTAAAAAAGAAAGAAAGGGGCCAAGTGGGAGGAAGCAAGGAACAGGCGCTCTGTGCTCTGAACTCACGGTGGAAGTGGGTCTGACTTTTCCCCTTCGCTGTGTGAAAGTGCTAAGAGACTCACCTCTCTGTGCCTCAGTGAGCACATCTATAGGCAGTTACTGCTCACCGCAGAGAGGGAAAGTGAGGAAGCATCTCCCGTGGGGAATGATCACGCTGCACTGCCTGTGTGCTTGAGAACATTAAGTAAGACAAGGCAGACAAGTGCCACTGGCCCGCAGGAGGGCCTCAATGAACACTGGGTCCTAGCAGGTATTACTAGGTCGATTATGATGAAAAATGCCACTTCTGTAAGTTAGCAGTGGCTACATGTTGGCAGTGTCACTGGTCCGACTTAAGATCCGGTGTGTGATGACCTGTATCCGGGCAGGGCTGAGAGCTTGCGCTCTGGGGAAGTCATGCTGTTGAGTCCTAATCCCAGTCCCACCGCAGCTCCCTGGGGACCCTTGGGCCACTCAGCCCGACCGTACATGGGTTCCTCCTCTGTAGAACAGGATATGGAAGCGTGGGGTCCCATGAAGCAATACAGGCGAAGCACTTGGAAGAATGTTGGTGCAGAGCCGGTGCTACCTGAACGCCCGTTAAGTGAGTCAGTGTGGTCAGTGGGGTGGGGATGCTGCTCGTTTCCACTTACTGAAGAGGAGGTGAGGGACTGGCACCCTCACACAGTCACACACATGGCTAGAACACAAGCCCTTATCTGAAACCCGGCAAGTGCCTGGCCACTGCTCTACAGCTAACACCTGCCCCCCCGCCCCAGCCTCCTGTCCCGTCCGGCCCTACCTAGCCCAGCCCTCCACTCTGATGGTGATCCATCCGTCTGTCCAGCCAGCAGGTCAACTGCTCAGCCAGCCAGTCCTCACAAGACTGTACTGTAGCCAGCATCTCCCCAAATTCCCTTGATGCCCCTGGTAACCGGCTACTGCCCTTACCCCCAGCCTCATGGGAGCTGCTGATCTGTTTTCTTTCCTTACAGTTTTGCCTCTTCCGGAATGTCATATAAGTGAAACCGAACAGTTATAGCTCCTTGAGTGTGGCGTCTTTCTCTCTGTTAATTCGTTTGAGAGTCACCGTCGGCGTTCCATGGGATCGGTAGCAGGTTTGTTTTTGTTGATGAATAGCAGTCTTCTGGCTGGATACCACAGCTAGTTCATTCATTCAGCGCTCAACCACATCTGGGTCGTTTCTCTTTTCGACAGCTGTAAGTAAAGCTGCTGTAAGCAGCTGTGTCCAGGTTTCTGTGCGAACCTACATTTTCATTTTTCCTGGGTGTATACGTCGTGTGAGGCCACTGGTTCACAAGGCAGGTTATCTTTAAGTTTATAGAAAGTGCCAACTTATTTCCCAAAGTCACTGTACCATTTTGCATCCCCATTGGCAATGTGTGAGAGTTCCGGTTGTTCTGTATCCTTGTCAGCACTTGGAACTGCCTGTCTGAAATGTTTCAGCCTTTCCAGTAGATGTGTGATAGTATCTTATGTGGATTTAATTTACATTTTCCTACTGACTAATAATATTGGACATCTTTTCATTCACACACACATACATAACTATTATTATTAATATTATTGCCATCCATGTATCTTATTTGGTGAACTGTTGTTTTGAAATTTTTGTCCATTTTTCTGTTGACTTGTTTGTTTTTGTATTACCGAATTTTAAAAGATATATATTATTGGGGCCTGCAGGGGGCGTGGTAGCTAAGGGCTCTGGACTCTCACATGGCTGACCGCAGTTTAAGTATCGAACCTAGTGGCTTGCTTTCTCACTTTCTCTCTCTCTCTGGTCAAATTAAAATAAATAAATAAAGTTGAATAAAATAATTGTTTAGGGGAAAAAGATGTATAATATTTTAATTTTACTATCTCTTAAATTTATCTTATTTTATCCATGACAGCATGTTTACGAGAGAGAGAAAGAGAAAGAGAAAGAGAGAAATAGAGAGAAGCTCATCGCATAGGGTCTCATCACACTTGATCCCTTTTCCCCAGCCCCACAGCGCCTGAGGATCTCGGGCATGCGCACATGCACCTGGTGTGTTTTCAAGCTGGGAATTCAAACCCACAGTTGACATATGGCTTCCAGTCCTTCAGCTCAGTTTGCTACTGACTCTGCTACGGTGCTGGGCTAGAGTTCTTTGAACTTCCCAGATAGTTTCTCCAGTCTGTGGTTTACCTTTTCATTTCTTAACAGTGTCTTTCAAATAATGACAGCTTTTAATTTTGCTAAAGTTTAATGTATCTTTTTTTCTTTTTTATGTGTTATTTTTTGGTGTCATATCTATGTAACATTTCCTCTCTTTCTTTCTTTCTTTTTTTTTTTAGTTAAGGTTTTTGTCATAGGGCACATGTGCCCCCCAGAGGGAGACAGAGAGAGGGAAAGAGACAGAGAGAGGGAAAGTGAGAAATCCCCCCCTAGGTGGAATGGCCACACTGCAATCCCTTTTCCTCCCATTATTCTTTCGGGATTTTGAGCATGCACACATACGCACCTGGTGTGATTTTCAAGCAGTCAAGTCCAGAACTTGAACTGTGGTCAGCTATATGGTAGTCCAACACCTTAAACATTATGCTACCTGCTGGTTCCTGTCATCTTTTCTTAACCCGAAGTTTTCCCCTATGATTTTTCCAGGAATTTTATAATACCTATGATCCATTTTGTGTTAACTTTAATATATGGCATAATAGGGATCAATTTTTTTGCCTCCTTTTCCTTTTTTCCTCTCTTTTTTCTTTTTGCATATAGATGTAGGATCGTTTCAGCACTATTTGTTAAAAAAAGGCTATGCTTTTGCCATTGAACTGTCTTTTCCCCTTTGTCAAAAATCAACTGGCCATGGGTCAGCAGGTAAGGTCCTGGACTCCCATGTGGCTGACTACAGTTTGAGTCCTAGACCTGGTGGCTTGTTTTTCACTTTTCCTCTCTCTCTCTGGTAAGCACATGTGCCTTATAGTAAATTTAAAAAGTTTCAGCACTATTTGTTAAAAAAAGGCTATGCTTTTGCCATTGAACTGTCTTTTCCCCTTTGTCAAAAATCAACTGGCCATGGGTCAGCAGGTAAGGTCCTGGACTCCCATGTGGCTGACTACAGTTTGAGTCCTAGACCTGGTGGCTTGTTTTTCACTTTTCCTCTCTCTCTCTGGTAAGCACATGTGCCTTATAGCAAATTTAAAAATAATATTAATAATAATAATAAACAAATAATTTAAAACTTTAAAAAAATCAGCGTGTCATATCTGTCAGGGCTCTACCTGAACACTTTTCTTTTCTGGTCATCTCTATATCTGCCTATTTGCCAATATCACACATGTTGAGATCCTAGTTTTATGGTACTGTGATTTCTCCAACTTTATCTTTCCTTTTCAAAAGTTGTTTTGGCTGCTATAGTTCCTTTGTTTTTTTCATATAAAGTTTAGAATCAGCCTATTGAACTCTACAAGAAAATTCTGCTATGGGACCAGCAGTTGGCATCATGGCTATATCGCTGGACTCCCATTTAGTCGACTGCGGTCCGAGTCCTGGACCTGGTGGCTTAAACTTACGCAGGGTGCATGTGCGTGCATGCCCAAGATCCCGAGAGGAGAATGGACGAGAAAGGATTGCAGCATGGCAATCCCCTCTGGGGAGTGATTTCTCGCTTTCTGTCTCTCTGTCTCTCTCTGTCTTTCTGGCGAGCACACACGCTCAATAGCAAAAATCTCTCCAAAAAAAAAAAAAAAAGAAAATTTTGCTATGAGTTGTGGTTGTTGTTAATGAGAGATAAAGAGCAGGATGTTATCATTTGATAGGGTGTTACTATTGTCACAGTCTTCCTGCCTCAGCTTCCCAATTATCTAGGACTATAGATACATGAGACTACTCCCAACCTATTTAGAGTGGCTCAGAAATCAAACCTGGATGCACATGTGGCCTCAACCTCCAAACAGCAGTATCTTAGCACTGAACACCATGAAAGCTGAGCCTCTGTTGGGATTTTAATATGGATTGTTCTGAACCTATTGATCAATATGGGAGCATTGATATTCTAACAATATTCTTTTGACCCATGTACACAGTATGTCTTTCTATTTATTTAGGTTGT